CAACTCATCTAACTCACCTCACCCAACTTTTCTTTATTTTCTATCATCTTTAAAAATTACTCACATCATCCAATAATATGGTGACAACTTATCACATCTCATTAAAATTTCCTTCCATCACTTTCCTCTAAAAAAACAAGGAAATTGATTTTCCTAAGTATGAGTCACATCATCCAATAATATAATGACAGCTCATTTTCTCTCATTTATTTTCTTAGTTTTAAGAATGAACCAAACACAAGAAAGAACAAAAAATAAAGAAAGTGGAGGAAAACATAAAAAATTACTCATCTCATCCAATAATATGGTGACAAATCATTTTCTCCTTCACTTTCTTTCCGAATTTTGACGAACCAAACATCAAAAAGTAGAGAAAAACATCAAAATTTATTTTCTTTCCCCCACTTTCTGCAATTTTTTGCGAAACAAACAGATCCTAAAATCTTTTTTTTATAGACGATTTTGACTGAAAGCGTGCCAAAAAGTGACATTTTTAGCAATTTTTGCGGTCTTGAGAATCTTTCCAGCCCCTTAGACCATCTCCAATAGGAGACAATTCAAATTCACTTTATCCCCTTCCACATAACCTGCCACATCATCAAATGTCTCCACTATCACATACACTCCACAATAGAGGATAATTTAGGAAATAATTCACTTTTCTATCTCTCCTCATCACTCCCCATCATATATTTTATTATATTATATTTTTTCATATGTGATATATGTATTATAATTAATATAATAATAATAATATAATTTTTTATTTTTTTATTTATAATTATTTAATTTTGATATTTATCAAATATTATTACAATATTAAAAACAAGACAAGATTTTATTGATGTAGATAAATCAACAGTACAATTTATTAAAAACACACAAAACAAACTAAAATTTGACAAAATTAAAATCGAAAGTTGAAAATTAAATTGCGGTTGCTCCAAACTTTTGCCAAATGTGCTCGACAAGATCCTCCTTCAATTGAAGATGTTTGGCCCTATCTCGGAGTTCAGATCTAGTATGAATATCTGATTCGGACCTACCTTGAACATGCACTTACCAATTTTTTTGTTGAGATCACTGTAGTTGTCGTCTGACCAACCGCTACGCCTCTCTGCTAATGCTTTTCTGTATACACCAACCCACTTACCAATTTTTTTGTTGAGATCACTGTAATGGCTTTTACATTGTTGTTGACTCCTATGAGGGCCAGTTGTTGAATGCTCATTCAAGTAAGCAACAATTTTACCCCAAAAAGTGTCACCCTTTTGGCCACTACCCAATTCACTATCATTACTGAAGTGAAAATAACTAGTTAAAAGTAGTTTGTTTTGCTCGACACTCCAAACCGAATAACTAGATTTAGAAGTATTTTTCTGTGTTTGGGGCAAAAAACTATGTGGTGTGTCATCACCAGCACTTCCAAGAGATATTTGAGTGGAAAACTCGGGTACATCTGTTGATCCACTGCTAAAATGAGGAGTAACTTGCTCGGTGTTTTGATTATTGATATTGGAGAAACCACCATAATTACTTCCACCAGTTTGTTGCCCATATTGCATATAAGGGAAATTATAAGGATATTGCATACCAAAATTAGATTGCATCATATATGGCATTTGAAAATTGGATGGCATGTTTTGAAGATTTTCAGGACGTTGATTATTGGAATTTTGAGGTTGGTTAGGAAACATATAAGTTGGGGGACGATTAAAATTTTGATTAGGGTCCATTTTGAAAGAGAGCAAAGAAGTTGGAGGAATTTTGAAAGAGAGCAAAGAAGTTGGAGGAAGAAAGAAATTTTGGAGAAAATACTCAAAAATTTTTGGTGTCCAAATGAAGCAAATTTGGTCTTTATATATAGATCTCGAAAAAAGAAAATTAATGGTGAATTGTTTTTTAATTTGATCAATTTATTGGTAAAAAATACCATTTAAAAAAAGGGTGGAAAAGAAAAATGCATCAACCAACACGAAGCTGCCACATGTCGCGATTGCACCTCACCTCCTTTGTGTTTTCTCCCGCGGATAAATGAGCACTCTAGCAGCAAACAATTGCTTTTACAATGACACATGGCGCGATTTGATTGCTTTTCATTACAATAATTCTAGATTTATTGAATAATTACCTCCAAAAGCCACATCACCTCACCTTTACAATTATTCTTTGTTGGAGCAAATAATTCACCCAATTATACACTATTGGAGATGGTCTTACTCTTTGATTCCTCCGCTCAAACATCTTCTAACTCGTTGCTTCGTTTTCCCCCCAAATCATCAAAGCCCTAGCAGGGAGTTGGGACTTCGGACGTTCCACCACCTCTCTCTATCTATTCGAAAGCCTTTTTCTGAAGATATTCTAGCATGGCGGAGGATGGAGAATCGGCGTTGGATTTGTTGAAGGCGTTCGTAGTTCTGCGGCTTGGAACAACTCGTCAAGTGGATCTCGGTAATGGTTCTTCCTTCTGAGTAACTATGTTTAGTTATACGGGTTTCACTAGTTTTGAGTTCGAAATTTGGTGATTTTGAGAAGGGTTACTAGTTTTCCAATTGAAAATTAGGGTTTTCCCATTTTACAACTAGTTTATAAGTGTAGATTGTACTAGTTTAAACAATCTCTATTTTGATACATATTTCTATGAAATTTTAAGGGCATTGTGACATTTTTGGACTTTTTTCTCACTCATTGTTGGGATACTGTTACCGAATTTGAACTCGACGATATTTGCGATGTTATGTTACTGGAATATTTTGTATTGTGGGTGTTCGATTGTTTTATCTAATTATCTTGGAAGATATTTCTTGTGTTGTTTCCTAATCAGTTTTTATTTTCCTGGATTTAGGTGTGAAAAAAATTGTCTTGGCAGTCTTGGAGTGCGATAGATGTTGGAGGAGAATTCCTTTGACGAATAGGGGAAAGTATGAATCTGGAAGACAAAAAAACTTAGCCTGAAAGTGGATGGAACTTCGTTAGAAGATGTTTTTGATATTCATCGAGGGATAGCATCATGGACCATTGGGAGTATTCCAAAATTATCTGCATTTGTTCTTGGTTTCAATACCAAATTGTTTCAAGTAGTTGAATAGCAGTGAGAAGTTGAAACAATTACTTCGGAAACACTGGCAAGAGAAGAAGAAGTTAGAAAGTTTTTTATGATAACAAGAGATCCTCCTCCAAATGTCAGTGTCGGGATCTCTACCAATAACTTAGGAAGATGCAGATCCTTGGTAGTGCAGCAAGTGGATTCATCCAGACATGATGAAGACTTGACACGACCCTCGAGCATGTTTAGGAGAAGGAGAAGACATTTGAGGTCCACTGCAATTTCAGATGATGATGGTGATGAAGCAGGAAATGAGGGCTCTAGTGGTGATGATAATCTTGAAGGTAATCTTGATGTTGGAGTAGATGAGCATGCAACTTTCACTGCTGACTTGGTTGATGGAAGTGCAAGACTTGAAGCGGACAACAGTGGTCAACATGAAGAACCTATTATTTTACATTCACAAGAGACTTCCACAAACTTGGTCGGGTCAGTTAATTGTCAACATGAAGACATGATTGACATCGATAATGAGGAAGTAGCAGAGGATGACGCAGATGATTGTTACTCGTGTTGGACCCTAGGGGGGGTGATTAAGGTTTTCAGGTAATAATTGTGCAATAAAAAAAGAGACAAGCAATACACCACAAAATGAACAACCAAAGTAAAAGAGATAGAGTTAGAATTCGTTATCCAAGTGACGCGCGATGTGTTAACGAGGTTTGGCCCGCTAACCTATGTCCTCGCTCCCCACTCTCGAGGAGAATCCACTACACAACCCGGTTTGAAAGCCGGAACTTCTTCTACACAACGATCTCCATAATATCTCACAACTACACAGTTGATCACCACAAGATCTCACTCCCACGCAGTTGATTTTCACAATATCAAGCTCACAACAGTAGTAAATGGTGTAAAATCTCTTTTTACAGTGTCCCTATGGCAAGGAGTTACACTGAAGCTTGGGATGTGAACTTGAAAAACAGAAAAAACAGGTTTGAAAATTTGGCTCTCAGTAAAACAAAACTCTGGTTTTTCAAATTGCTTGGGACAGGTTGAAGAAGAGGGGTAGAGGGGTTTAAATAGGAGAAAACACTACAGCTAAAGCCCATATACCCAAATCCCACACAATCCCGTAAAAAATCATTTCAGAAAAATGTACTAAAACGTCCGTTGGGGTGAACGGCGGTCGATCGTGGAATTTTCGTGGTCGACCGCGAGCCACTTACAAAACCGAGAAAATTTTCAGAAACATTGACGCTTGACCGTGACGGTCGACCGTGGGATTTTTTTAGACTGACGGTCGACCATCACGGTCGACCGCGAAAGTCTCTGAACTCATGGCGGGCGACCGTGACGGTCGATCGCAAAAGACTCTGCTGGCTACTAAGAAAAGAACAAGGGCACGGTCGACCGTAGCGGTCGACCGTGAACTGACACAACAGATACAACATTTAGAAAGCAGTTTTGACTCTTTAAAAATCTGTAAAAATATTGAAATGACTTCTAAAAATTGTGTAACTTTGTAAATTGTTTTTAACACTAAAAACAAACTGTTTAGAAAAGTAATTTTTCGAATAGGTCCTCATACTTGTGAAAAATGATATTTTGTTAAAACGCTCAAAAATATAAGTATGAAAACGTGTGTGTGATATCCCAATAGCTTCAAGCGAAATCTACAACTACTTACCTACACTCTAGCACTAGAGAGAAAATAAAAACAACAAATATCTCTCACAAAGAAATACATTTCTTGAGTCTTGATATTGCTTGAGTTGATGAAGCTTCTCATTGCGTTTATTGTTCTTGATTAAACATTGCTTTATCACTATGCCTTCTCCTCCTTTGGATATCATCGTTGTAGCTCATATTCCATCCAATCCTCTATAAGTGGTACTAACAAGCTTGAAATATATATATTAACTACAATATCACTCAATAAGCAATTAGTACCGATAATGGTGGTTGTAAATCATCATCAAAACATAAGGGCTAACAACTCGAAGAATGAATTTCATGATTTTCATTCTTCAGAAGATGAGAGTGATGACCTTGATGAAGTTGATGAAGTGGAGGAAGATGATTTATTTGATCAAAATGCTGAAAATCCTATGTTGGTAGTCGGTGCCATATTTAGGGATGCAGATGATGTAATAGCGGATTATATCCCATAGCCTTTGCTCTTGTTGAAGGAGAGAAGGAGAGTACTTGGCTTTGATTTCTTCAACATTTACGACAAGCACTAGAGATGGAGATGGATCACATTACCGTTATTAGTGATCAAGAGAAAGGCTTGCAAGAAGTAGTTTTAGAAATCTTTCCTCATGCTGAACACAGGGTATGTATGAGGCACCTATGGAAAAATTTGAAAAAGAAGTATTCAGGAGAAGTATTTGCGTGATTTATTTGGGATGCAGCACGATCATATAAAATGATCGAACACGAAAAGGTGATGACTAAATTGAGAGCTATATCTCTTGGATGTGCACTAGATTTGGATGTTACTTTCACCAACGAGGGATATAAATTGAGTAGATGCATGTTCTCGGCAGCTCCAAGAAATCATTTTATTGTGAACAATGTAAGTGAAAGTTTCAATGCTTGGATACTAGAAGCAAGATCTCTTCCTGCAATTGATTTGGTGGACAAAAATTAGAATAAAGCTAATGGCAAGAATGAACAAAAGAAGAAGACTTGCATCTAAATGGAAGGGAATGTTAGTACCGATGGCTGAAAGGTACGTGAGGGAGATTAGCAAGAACCTTGGTGGGTGGCTTGTGAGATGGTCTAATGACAAAATTGCAGTAGTGGAGCTTATGGAGAAGAGGGAAGTGTTAAATATGGAGAATAGGACTTGCACATGTAGAAGGGGGCAATTGATAGGTTTGCCTTGTAGACATGCCGCGGAAGTAATTGGTGAAATGAGAAATGCAAGATGGTCAGATTATGTAGACCCTGCTTACTATATAAGCAAGTAAGAACAACTCTTTGTTTTATATTTTTTTCCATTTGTTTCCTCTACTTAAGATTAAATTTCAGATATTTGTCTCTTGTTTGGCATTTCAGTTACAAGTTAGCATATCAAAATGTGATTGCGGCTATGCCGGCAAAGGAAGAAGGGCAAAATATTCCACTTGACTACAAAGTTAGCCCTCCACATGCTACACGACCTAGGGGCAGACCTAAGAAACAAAGAGTAAGAAGTAAAGATGAAATAGAAGAGGGAGGAGGAAGGCAATGGATTCTACTGTTAGTTTTATAGATGTATATTATGCATATTCATGGTCCATATTCTCTCTTATAGGTGTCAAAGAGAAGACACCATTGTAGTAGATGCGGTGGAATGGTACATCATAAGCATGCTCCCATCCTCTCCTTTGATCTACATCCCCTACTTTAGTTGTTTTGAAGCATTACTTGGAACCCCAACTGGGATCAGCAATCTCCCCCGACCAATACCATCCACATCGTTATCCACCTCCAAACAGGTCCCGATTCGATTACCAATCAACTCTATGGCTTCTTCGTCCATGCAATTCGGGGCAAGATCATACCATTGGGTGACCCGCGCGAGCACGGGTTCGGAGGTTTTTTCGTTCTCTCTTTTCGCTTTTTGGTGTTTCCCGACTTTCCCGGACTTGTATTCTCCATCGTTTTGCGTATTTGGTCAACTCGTTGGCTTGTACGCTTCGCTGAGGGGCTGACCGACGAACACGTCGGTCACTTGGGGCTGCCTGACGTGCGCGGGTTGGCCGACACGCGTGAATTGACTGACGTGCGCGCGTTGACTGACATGCGCGGCGGTCAATTGGATAACCCTTCTTGACTCGTCCACTCTTCATTTCTAGCTACGTGCATTTTTTATTTTTTATTTTTTATTTTTTATTTTTATGTATTATATTATATATGTAAATATAAATATATATAATATGTATAATATATGTATATATAATATATTTTTATATATGTATAATATATGTATATATATAATATATGTATATATAACATATTTTTATATATGTATAATATGTCATATGTGTGTATATATATACTCTCTCTTAGTATATAAGTATATATAAGTATACTCTCTCTTATATAAGTATATATATGTATACGTATATATAAGTATACTTTCTCTTATATAAGTATATATATATAAGAATACTCTCTTTTATATCTATACTACTTATAAAAGAGAATACCCATGTCAAAACTTTTGATTTCCTTTTTTACCCCCTCAAATTTTAATAACTCAAAATTATACTATTAATTATAAAACTAATGATCCATAACCTCTCATTAACTATGCACCTTTTTATTTTCTCAAATTATTTGGTTATTCACTAGAATATATTAATAATTTATAATGATAACAAAATTCATGAATATATGATAATTTATTATAAATAATTATTAATTATATAAAATAGTAAAAGCCATTCATTTAATAAATTATTGCACATAATTATAACTATTAATAATAGTATAAATATGGGTTATTTATTTATGTTGTAAAGAATATTACCTTGTTCGATAATTAATATCATCTTAGTAATAAAATTTTGGATTTTATAAGTTAAAAATACTTTTATTTTAGAAAATTAATGTATATAAAAAATTTGGATCCTTTAAATTTATGAGACATATATTTTTCTCTTCTTTTCTTCAAAATATTTGGCCACTCGCTAGAATATTCTAATAATTTATAATGATAACAAAATTAATAAATATATTATAATTTAATATAAAATAATTATTAATTGTAATGAAATAGTAAAATTATTTATTTAATAAAATATTATACATAATTATAATTATTAATAATAGTATAAATAGGATTTTTTATATTATAATAATTAATACCCTTTTTCTATATTATAATATTATCTTAGTCATAAAAATTAGACATTATGAACATAGTGCAATAAAATATTGGATCTTTGCAATTTATGAGTCATGCACTTTTTGTTGGAAAGTAAATGTCTCATATATTTCAAGGATCCAATATTTTTATAAAAAATAATTTTTCTAAATAATAGTATTTTTAATTTATACCATCCAATTTTTTATTACTAAAATGATATTAATTATTGAACAAGGTAATATTCTTTACAACATAAAGTCATATAATATTAAAATTTATTGCCATTATTTAATAGATATTGTATTAATATGTACATGACATAAATATTTAATAATTTAAATGGTTTAATTATATCAATAGTATTACTTAAACTAATGATTACATTATTATTTAATAATTATACTCCTAAATAAATTGTTTAATAAAATAATAATAAAAAAATTTAAATAACTATTAAATGTATGTTAATAATATTATAAGTACTAATATTAGTATAAGTTAAAAAAAATTAATCATAGTGCAATAAAATAAATTTTAATGTATATATATAATTTAAAACAACAAATATCCACGTGCAAAGCACGCTATACTATATTAAATGTATGTTGTATAGTATATACTCTCTCTCTTAGCTATATATGTACTATATATTATACTCTCTCTTATATAATGCTATATATAAGTTACACTCTCTTATCATATGCATAATATATATATATATATATATAATATTATATATAATATATATATATATATATTATATTAGATATATATAATATATATAATAATATATATAATATATATATATATATATATATATATATTATATATACTAAAGACTCTCTCTCTAGTATATATGTATAATAAGTATACTGCTCTCTTATATATTGTTATCTTATACTAAGTATACTTTTATATATGTGTGGTGATACTCTCTCTCTATAGATATAAGTATAGTATATTACACGGTTACTTCTTCCCATTGCTCCAACGAGCAACGGTACAGGGTCTTATCATTCTCTCTCTCTCTTAAATTATAACTTATAAATATATACATATATATTACATATAATATATTATATATTAATATATATTACATAATATGGAATATAGTACTATACAGTAATTATATAAAATATATATAATATTAAACTAATTTTTAGCATTTTTATCCAAGAAAAAAAAAAAAAATTAAAAAACCTAGTGGATGTATATCTATTGTGATGCGATGAATTCAAAATAAATGTATACTTGTTAATTTATAAATATTTATTATTATTAATAAAGGATTTATTTATAATTTTTATTGTATTTATGCATTTTAAGTGATTAATAAATATTGATTTTTTTTATTATTTTGTTCTTTTTTATTAAATAAAACTTAAATAAAATTAAAAATTTGATTAAAAAAAAAAACCCGGTCGGGCCCGGCTCCACGCGCCGGGCACCCGGCCAGGCCCGGGCTCCGCCGTTTGCCGGGCTCGCGATGGACAGGCCTAGGGGCTACCACGAACGCGTCAGTTACTTGGGGCTGCCTGACAAGCGCGTTGACTGACCGATGAGCGTTGACTGACGCGCTACGAGCTGATTGACTCGCGTGTTATTTACGTCCGCATCGTGTTCGACGCGCGTAGCTGCATGACGTGCGTGGTATCGATGCACGGCTGACCGACGTGCGCGCGTTGACTGACGTTCGCGAGCTGACCGACGTGCGCGGGCTGACTGACGCGCACGAGACCAATTGGATAACCCTTCTTGACTCGTCCACTCTCCGTTTCGAGCTGCGTGCAGGATCTCATTGGCAATTTTAGACGCCTATAGCGGAAGCGAGCTGATCGACGCGCACGAGCTGACCGACGTGCGCGCGTTGACTGACGTTCGCGAGCTGACCGACGTGCGCGGGCTGACTGACGCGCACGAGACCAATTGGATAACCCTTCTTGACTCGTCCACTCTCCGTTTCGAGCTGCGTGCAGGATCTCATTGGCAATTTTAGACGCCTATAGCGGAATCCACCGGAATGTGTTGGATTTCCTCTAAGTTATCGTGATGTGTCTCTATATATTTCCACAATGTATAAGCACTATCAAAAGAAGCAAATTTGTTAGAAATAGATGGATCAAAAACTTTAAGCAAAAGTTCTAACAATAGCTTGTTTAAAATAGACATCTTCTTGTCATCATTGCTCCATTTGAATTTCTCCAATGTGGGCACAACATAAGAATAATCAATTACTTCTCATAAATCGACATGTATAGATCTAACAAATAGTTTAAATCTAAACATCCATTGAGCATAAGGAAAATCATTGAACGAATGAGCAATATCTGTAACACAACTTAAACTAGGTGCACCATATATATATCAATGAAGATTATGCAAACAAGACAAAAATCATGAAAATTAGATTAGCAAAGTATAATAGTGAGGATCTTTGACTCTAGGCGATTAAGTCACAAATCAAGAGCACTACGTTCTGATACCAAATGAAAGTACCCTGGGGGGGGGAGAGGGGGGGATAGGGTAATTGTTAATCTAATTCGATTATGATATCAAATTAAAAACTTATAAATCAATATCCTAGCAATGTGATATACAAAGAGATGTGTAAGGATAAACAATGAGACAATAGGTGATATAAACACAAACACAAGATGTGAAGAATAATAGTACGCCAAAAAAACAATCGTAAACATAAGATATGATTACGGAGTTCGGTCAACCATGGACCTACGTCTCTGCTCCTCACATCGAGGAGATCTCCACTATCACTCAAAAATCTACACAAAAACGGTTTTCAAAGATCCCCGATAACTTTTACAATGCACACGATGTCAATCATACAAGCTACACTTCTCTAAGTGTTGGACTACCCGTGTCACCTTCCTGAAGTGTTTGGAATTATAACCTCTTCCTAGGATTTACAACCAATCCACTCTTCTTGGAATTGACCCTGGTCTTTTCCAACTACTCCTCTAAGTGTTCTTGTGTATTATAACGTGTATAACAATAAGTGCGAATAAAAGATTTTATTCTCTAAACAAATGAGAACGAAATATAAGCACTCTCAATAAAACATTTTCACAACCCAATAATACTAGATGTGAAATACTAAAGCTCATGTGGTTGTGTGTAAACAATGAGTAAAACGAAATAACACTCAAATAAATCTAGCTTATATATGATAATCAAAATATAGATTAGCTAGAGGATGAGTTTAGAAAACTTCTCCAAAAATAAGGAGAGATAGAGATTTGACGATGAACGTTTCAAAACCGAAATCGAGATCTTTCTCTTTGTAAAACTCTTTTTCACATAAACAAACACACTTCCCTTTCTCAAAAACGTGCAGCCAAAATGGCTAAACTTTTTTGTAAAACAATTATCCTTCAAATAAGTCTTGAATGCTATTTATAGCCTCTCAACAGATCAAAACAATAACTAGCCGTTATATATGATCAGTCGACTGATAGGTATATTGGTCGACTGGGGCATTTGACCGTTGGCTAATTTTGGAAAAAAATAAAACAGAGTCGGTCGACTGAAAAACACCTGGTCGGTCGACTGAAAACATTGTTCCGTCGACTGACTCTATTGGTCGGTTAACTGATCCACTATAAATAAAGAATGCTGTAAAAATACTTCTGCCAAGTCGACTGATTTAAACAGTCGGTCGACTGACCAGAGAGAATTTTGGGAAAGCAAAACAACCTGATCGGTCGACTGATATACTTGTTCGGTTGACCGCCTAGAGATCATATGTTAG